TCCCTGCTCTCAGAGTTCATCAGCACTACTGTGGTCTCACTTTCCTCTCTTTGCTGCTATTCATCCTTCATCTTCAAAGAGGACAATAACATCATGGGGTGATGTCTTGACTTGCACATGAGTTGGACTGAAGTGAGTCAGAGCTACACAAAGTCACCAGCCTCACTCCCTCTTCTGGAGTCATCAAAGTCCAATGGCAAGACAAAAGTCAGGACAACCGGCAATGGCCCAGGATGCAACGGATGACCTTGGCATCTTTGACATCTGACCAAGCTCTGACAGTTCCACAGGCCTGCTTTAGCCGCTCATCCACTCATTCCCCTGGGGGACAGCTTCACATGCTCCGGGCAGACATCCCTTAAATCACCAACATGTTTGAGGCCTGTCAGTTACCCTCAATCTGGTCTAGCCTCCCTGCCAAGACGCTCTTATCAGAGTACGGCCACTGCACATGCTACGGCTCCCTGAAGCCAGAGGTGAGAGTTGGGGTGGAGGTGGATACCAAAACTGGATAAGCAGCCCTGAAAGGGCTCAGCAAGTCCTCACATCAGAGATGCTAGTCCTCCCTGAACACCCCGTACAAATGAAAGCAATACTGTATTATTTGACTTATATTGAGCTTGAAGTATTAAAAAAAAAAACCCAGACCTATTTCAGATGAATTGCTGTGCAGCTGTGTCTTTCTTGTCTTGCATTTGTATAGTTGATTTTTAAACTAAAGTAGAAGATTTTACATTTATCCCTGTTAAACTACATTTTATTAGATTCAGCTGATGTTTTAGCCTGTCTAGATGCCTGGATCCAGACTTTCTCATCCATTTGGCTCATTAATCTTCCCAGTTTTGTGTCATACGCAAATTAGAAAACCATGCCATCTGTGCCTTTATCCTAGGCAATGATAATACAGGGATACTGAAGCACTTGCTGTCCCTCCATCCCTGCAAGGCACTTCCTCTTGATCCCTGCCTCTTAGAATTCCTAGTGTCTTTTAAGATATGACTCAAGTACTACCTTCTACATGAAGCCCTTCCTGACCACTCCCCCATCACCTTGTACTTATTTTGTATAGGCTCTAGAGTATAGGGTTTAGCAGTAGAATCTCCTAAGGAAACTATTTTAAATGTAGCACCCTCAACGTGTGTACATACTTGCTACCCTACAGACCCCAGGGTTGTAGTTCATATTCTGAGACACCCTGAGACCATTCAAGATCCACCAAACAATAATTCTGAATCTTCAGAGATCTGGGGGAGAGGAAAGGCTGCATTTGAGATGAAGACTCTAAACTAAGCTATCTAAACCAATCTTCAAGGTCCTTAAAACATGGCTTGTCCAAGTTGGTCCAAGAGCTTGGCTGGTTCTTTACCATTATTTTGGCTGGAAATAGACTAGCTTTGGGAACACAATAATAAAATGATTTCTAAACTAGTTGAAATCAGCTCCCTTTAACATCCTAAGGGGAGCTAGAAAAGACCTTAGAGATAATCTAATCTAATTCCCTCATTTTATAGATAAGGAAACAAACTGAGAAGTAAATGACTTGGCTAAGGAAACAATACTAGCAAGTGATACAAAAATTAATGTCAATGATTGTACTTACTGGTTACCAGCAAGGGTGTTCTTGAGTCAACTCCAACCAATCACAGTTAAATTTTCAGTGTGAGCACTCTCACACTGGAAATCTACAAATGCTCTAATCTCCTCATCATGCGTTTTAATTCAGCCGCATATTCAATGCCTTCCCACCTGCCTCAGCCTCCTCTCCCCTCTGTAGAGGGCTGGAGGGTGGAGCACTAAAATCCACTCAAAGCTTTCCTTTATAGAGGGCTGGATCTGGACTTGGCAGTACACTCTACTTTCCACCTGCAGCTCTGCTTGGTCTCAACTCCACAGAACATTATGTCCCCATGCCAGGTACCCTCTGATGCCCTCATCCCCCTCACCTCCACTTTCTTGCCTCCTTTTGTGTGTTGTCTTCCCCCAACAGATTGTAAGCTCCTTGAAGACAGGGCCTGCCTTTCTTTTTCCTATTTGTATGCCCAGTGCTCAGCATGGTGCCTGGCACATAATAGATACTTTGAAAATGTGTAATGTATTGTATCATATGGTAATCACAGTTTGAGTTACTGTTTTGTTGAGTGTCTATACTATACTGAAGAAAGCGATAGAGAAAATGTTAATAATACAGATTAAACTTAAAAGGGTGTAATAAGCACATTTTTTTCTGGAGAGCTGATAATTAAACATCTGCCAGCATACCTGTGGTTCCAAGGGAGAGTTCTATGTAAGAAGTCACTGGCAAGTAAGAGTTATATAAAAAATTAACAAAGCATTATTAAAAGGGTTTTTTTGAACTATTAAGTGGTAGAACAAGATCTTCTAACCTGAAATCCAGCACTGGATCAAGAAGGATGAGAACTGAGGAATGACTATTGTTGTTCAGCCAATTCAGTCATGTCCAACTCTTTGTGATCTCATTTGGGGTTTTCTTGGCAAAGACACTGGAGTGGTTGGTCATTTCCTTCTCCAGCTTATTTTACAGAAGAGGAAACTGAGGCAAACAACAGCAACTTGCCCAGGGCCAAACAGCTCATAAGTGTATGAAGTCAGTTTTGAATTCAGGAAAATGAGTCTTCCTGACTCCAGACCAGACACTTTATCCACTGTGCCACCTAGCTGCTCCAGGAAAGACTATGAGATTTGGCAATTAAGAGACTGTTGCTATAATTTGGGAGAGAATAGTTTCAGTTGAGTTATGAGGTAAGAAGACAAATTTCCAAAGGGTAAGGAATGAGTGGGAGGGGAGGAAAAGGACATAATCGGCATAGAAAGCTAATTTTAAGAGTTTAACTGAGAAACTAAATACAGAAGGATAACCTGAGGGAATGGTCAGATCTAGTGAAGGTTGTTTCTTTTAAGGTTAAGGGGATGGGGAAATGTATACCCAGATTTCAGATGGATGGAAAAGACGAAAGGAGATACATTCAAGCACACAAGCAGAGGGGCTGACCTTGACCAGAAGGGCTACCTTACTTGTCAGAGACATGGAAGGAAGAAAATCTTCAGTTTTTTTCAGTAAAGTAAAAAGTGAAGTATTCAGCTGAGAAGGGATATGGGAAGTTAGGGAGGCTTAAGGACAGAAGACAAGGTTTGAAAAAATTCTCTATGAAGAATGAGATAGGGAATCAATTAAGAGAGGGAACAAAAGATTGTCTTGCTGCAGTTAAGATTTAGTTGAAATTAGAGAACATAAACTTATAATGTACACATTCAGCATGGCTATGTGGCTTCCTCCAGTTCTGTTCAGCAATGTGTGGTTAAGAACAAAGGATGCACGAACAGAATGAGCAATCCAGGCCTGAAGTTTGGCATAGGATGACTGGCAATAGGACAAGGGTGAAATTCAAGAGTAGTAGATGTTCAGTGATTTCAGTTGTGTCTGACTCTTGGAGTTTTCTTGGAAGAGATACTGGAACAGTTTAGTATTTCCTTCTCCAGCTCATTTTATGGATGAGGAACTGAAGCAAACAGGGTTAGGTGACTTGCCCAGGGTCACACAGGTAACACATGTCTGAGACTGGATATGAATTCAGGTCTTACTAACTCTAGGGGTAGGTAGGGGGCTCAGTGGGTACCAGGCCAGGCCTGAAGTCAGCAAAACTCATCTTCCTGAGTTCAAATCCGGCCTCAGACACTTACTAGCTATATGATCTCGGTAAGTCACTTAACCCCGTTTGTCTTGGTTCCCTCATCTGGAAAATGAGCTGGAAAAAGACATGGCAAACCACTCCTGCATCTTTGCCAAGAAAACACCAAATAGGGACATGAAAAGTCAGACATGACTAAAAAATAACAATTCTTTCAAAAAGGTAGAAGGGCCATTTTACCATACAATCAATAATATACAGATAAAGTATTCAAAGTATAAACAACAGAAATCTAATTTGACTAAAGCTACTCCGGCCAAAATAATTTGGCCCAATGAAGTACTACCATAACTCAAAGGATCCATTTCTGCCACATGGAAAAATTAGGAAAAAAGCTTGAAAGTCACATTATTTTTAATGGAAAATATTTTAAAATTCTTGACTTTGTTCTTTTAGTTTTAAAAGCTTTTAAGTGGTAAGAATGGAAAAATTAAAAACTAAATTTTAATTAATTTTGTACTGTTGTCATTATTTTTAATGGAAAATGTTTTAAAATTCTTGACTTTGTTCTTTTAACTTTAAAAGGTTTTAAATGGTAAGGATTAGTGGAAAAATTAAAGACCAAATTTTGATTAATTTTGTACTATTGTACAATCAATAGACAAAACAAATAGACTGCAATTCCTTTATTAGATTACAGTCTCATTCACTGTATTTGTATGAAATCTTTCACAAGACTAGAAAAATTTCTCAAGGGGGCACGTCTCATAAAAATTGCACTGTAACTATATATACTGCATCTATGATATGGATTTTTTTGGTCCAAGTTACCTTTTTTGCAAAAGAGGAGTGAAAGATAAACTACTGTTATACATTAAAAGACCGAAAATGAAAATACAGTAACTTTTTAAAACCAATTAACTAAATGTCTTATCTTTCCTTTTAAAAGCACAAAAGTAATAATGAACTAATGCTTCCTAATTAAATCCACCTATGACAATCATTTGGACAAACAATACCATCAATTCTGATGCTGCATGTGAAAATAATTTTTAACTGCATATACTTCCAAAATATATAGTCACATACAATTAAGCTAATTAAAAAGAAATAACAAGAGAAGAAAGTAAATTTGATCACAACTAAAAATCTCTCAAGTATGTCTCATAAAATATATTATCATAAATATCAATTATATAGCAACAACTTGCATGCTATGAAAAAAATTCAAAGGACATTTTAAAAATAAATGTAAACATTTTATATTTATACCAATTTGCTATAAAACATCATTTAAATTTTTGAATTAAAGTCTACAGTGTAGAAAAGACTATTACTAGCATATTATCATACCTGTTGCCATTTGCCTTTGACAGCTGGGTCTCTGACTGACTGACAATGTCTCTGAATCTGCTGTATTACCCCCTGATAATATACCATTGAAGAGTCATAATTTCCAAGAAGTGCATATTCTCTCCCTTTCTTTGCATTGTCACAAATCTCAGCCAAATTCATCTTTGTTCACAGATCTGAAAGAAAAAATAATTAAATAAGAAAGATTTTAGTGACAAAAAAATTGTGCTAATTTCTATTCTTTTTAGACATTTATTTAGACATCTAGATTTTAGACATTAACTTAAAATTTTAAGCCCAAAATATGTATTTTCCACTTCTGGCAGTTAACTGTTTGCATGCTTTAGAACAAACAGTATTTCCCTTATTTAAAAAAAAAATCACCTTTTTTTTTATTCTGAACTTAACAAACACCAAATAAAATGGGCACTCCCGTATATACAATAGCACACTCTCCCCCTACTCTCAGCTGGGAAAAAAAACCTGTAAAACCGGTAACAAACATATATAGTCAAGCAAAACAAATCCACACATTGGCTGTATCCAAAAATATGTCTTATTTTGCTTAAGTTCACCATCTCTCTATCAAGAAGTGGGTACCATGTTTCAGCATCAGCTCTTGAGGAATTGTGGGTGGTCACTGCAATGAGCAAAATTCAAGGGTGCTTTTCTTTATAACACTGTTGTTCCTATGTAAATTGTTTCACTGGTTCTTCTCACTTCACTCTACATCAGGCCTTACAAGTCTTTCTATGTTTCCCTGAAACCATTTCTTTCATCATTTCTTATATCATAATAATATAACATTGTATCTACGTAGCATAATTTCTTCAGTCATCCCCAATTGATGGGCACCCCTTTAGTTTCCAGTTCTTTGTTACAACAAAAAAAAATGATAAAAATATTTTTGTACATGTGGTTCCTCTTTTTTTAATCTCTTTGGGGTTAGAGACCTAATAGACTTATACTGGATAAAAAGGTTTGCAGAGTTTAGTGGTTGGAGGGAATTAATCCAAATTGTTTTCTAGAATAGCTAGACTAATTCACAACTATCAACAGTGTACCTATTTTCCTGCAGCCTCTCCAACAACTGTCATTTTCACTTGCCATCTTTGTCAATATGATGGGTGTGGGATGGAACTTCAGGGTTAATTTGCATTTCTCAAATTAGCAATTACTTTGGAAATTTTTCATATATTCATATTCATATATAGATAGTTTGGGGTTTTTTTTCTTTTGAAAACTTCCAGTTCATATCCTTTGACATTAGGGAATGCTCTTGTTTTTATAAATCCCAATCAGTTCCTTATATGACTTATATATGAGATCTTTATCAAAGTAACCTGCTACAAAGATTATCCCCCAGTTAACTGTATCCTTTATAATTTTGACAGCACTGATTTTGTTTTTGCAAAAACTTTTTAAATTTTATGTAATAAAAGTCCATTTTAACTTCTGTGATACTCTGCAAAAGGCTTTCTTCTTTGCTCCTCTACTGTGTTTATGATATGACTTTTATATCAAAGCCATGTTATCAATGGGGTCTATTTCTATATACCATGTGAGATACTGGTTTTTACCTAAGTTCTGCCAGATTAATTTCCAGTTTTCTGAGAAGTTTTTGTCCTTACCCCAAGAGCTGAGGTTTTTTGGACTATGTCTGACGTTTCTGTATGTTGTATACCTAATCTGATCACTGATTAACTTCTCTATTTTTTAAACCCATACCAAATAGTTTGGATGATTATGGCTCTGTAGTATATTTTGAGATGTATGTAGAAATCTCTGGAAAATATGCTGCCACAGTAAGTGAATTTATTCATAGCATTCAAAATTTCTCCATTTGCTGTAACCAAGATTCCACAAAAAGATGGTGCATGCTGGCTGGTTTGGTTAACACATGCATTGCCAAAGCTAGCTCAGTGTTTGGGACGATGCAAAAGAAAGTGTAGAAGAGAAGAGGTATTAAGCTGCCCACCAAACTGAAAGTCTAACAGAGCCACCGTGCTGACTTCAGTGCTGTATGTCTGTGAAACCTGGACAATCTATCAATGCCATGCCAGAAAATCGAACCACTTCCTGTCGAAATGTCTTAAGAAGATTCTGAAGATAATTTGGCAAGTTAAGGTACTGGACCCTAAGGTCCTCTTGAGCTGAACTGCCAAGTATTCCAACTCTGCTGTAGAAAGTGCAACTCCAAAGGGCTACCCATATAGCCCAAATGCCAAACAGATGTTTATCTAAAAAATTATTTTATGGAACACAAGACAAGCACTCACACAGAGGTCAGAAGAAGTGATACAAGGACACTCTCAAGGTCTCTTTGAAGAACTTTAGTATCAATTGTGAGACATGAGAGACACTGGCACAGGACTGCCCAGCATAGCATGCCCTCATCAAAGAAGGCACTGTGCTCTATGAGCAAAGCCAAACTGCAATAGCAAAAGGCAACGTAAGATGCACAAATCTAGAAACATGTCCATCCCAAATTTTAAAATGAACTATTTGTGCCTAACCTGTGATAGAGCCTTCCAAGCTTGTATTGGACTGATCAGCCACAGTCGAACACAATGCACCTTGACCCCAACATCGTGATGTCATTGGTCTTCTTTGAGTACGAAGTTATCAGGTACTGTTAGAGCACCATCTTTCTTTTCATTACTTCCCTTGAGATTCTTAACCTTTTATTACTACAGATAATTTTCAATATTATTTTTTTCTAACTATATAAAGTAATTGTTTGATAGTGTGACCTGTATAGTACTGAATAAGTAAATTAATTATTGACATATTTATTATATAGATATAGCCTATTTATGAGCAACAAATACTTCAATTATTTATATCTGTCTTTATTTCTGTAAAGAATATTGTGTAATTGTAGTCATATAGCTCCTGTGTCTTGGCAGATAGACTCCCAAATATTTAGTAAATTCTATAGTTATGAAAGGAATTTTTCTTCCAATCTCTCTCTGTTGGATTTTCTTGATAATATACAGAAATGCTGGTGATTTATGTGAATTTATTTTCTGCAACTTTAGTGTGATTGTTTCCATTAACTTTTTATAGTTAACTCTCTTAGTTTCTCTAGATACATCATCAGATCATTTACAGAAAGTGAGAGTTGTTTCCTCTTTACCTATGCATACTGCCTCAATTTCTAGAATGCCTCTAGCATTTCTAGAACTAATTGCAATGGTAGATAGTGTATGTCCTTGCTTTACCTCTACTCTTACAAGAAAAGTATCTAGCTTCCCTGAAGAGCCTGAAAATGTTGGCTCTTGATTCTACATAGATACTATTTATCATAAGGAAAATGCTCATTTATTCCCCTTTTCTAGTATTTTAAACAAAAATAAATGTTGGATTTTGTCAAAAGCTTTTTCAGCTTTTATCAATATAATCACTTTTAAATTATTTTTGTTATTAATATAATCTATTTTTATAGCTTTCTTATATTGAAACAACTCTGAATTTCTAGTATAAATCCAACCTGGTCATCATGTACAGTCTCTTAAATGTGCTATTATGCTTTCTTTGCTAATATTTTATTTAATATTTTTGAGACAAGTTCATTTGGGATATTGGTCTACAGTTTTCTTTCTCTGTTTGGTTTCTTTCTAGTTTAAGTATCAAATCATATGTGTATCATAGAAAGAGTATGGAAGAATTTCTTTTTTCTCATTTTTGCAAACAATTTATATAATACTGAAATTCATTGTGCTTTGAATGTTTGATAGAATTTGCTTGTAAATCCAGCTGGTACTGGATCTTTTTTCCCTCTGGACTCTCATTTATGGTTTGTTCAATTGCTTTTTCTGAGACTGCATTATTTAAATTCTTGACTTCTTATTCTTATTCTGTTAATCTAGGCAACGGATAAGAGATACCCATAAAATGTTCAAAAGACCTAGCAATAATACCTCAACAAAGAATCTATGGAAAAAGAGTGGCAAGAATTAGACAGGATTAGAAGGAACAGATAAATTGTCTGAAGTACTGGAAGGAGTACTCACATCAAGAAGATCAAAGATTGGCATAAGTGGTAAAATAAGTTATCAAATTAAATTTTCTCACTGACTCCCATTATAATTTCCAAAGATGAGTTTCCACTAAAAGCACATGATCTCAACGTTCAAAAACAAAATCATACCTAACAATAACACATTAACATAGTGTTGTTTCAAGGTTTATGAAGTATTTTCCTTAAGCGTCCCTATGAAGCAGTGTTCTTCCCATTTTATAGGTAAGGAAACTCAGGAACATATTTGTTAAGTGATTTGGTTACACAGCCCAGACGGGTGACCTGACAATAAAGATGTTATGCCTAAGAGGAGTAATATGAAGACAATACGGGAAAAGATACCAGGCTCTGCAATAGCAGAGGTATGAACTGTCATGTTCCACACGTGTGTGCCTTGCTAGCTGCTGCAGTTTATATCCGTGTCCCTCTTCCCTCTCACACTGTATTTGTAGGAAAGCATACCCCAGATTTGGGGGGGGGCATATTTTGTTACTAGTGATGATGCTGTGCCAAGTAATTGAATATTTTTGCTTTGGGCTATGTCAACTTGCTATTAAAGTTGAATAAATAGGGAGCTGATGAGCTATAGTTTTAAGAATATGGACCCACAAAGGACTTTGAACCTGGGGTCACCATTCCCCAGGGGACCTAACTTACAAAGCGCGGGAAGGGGTTTCGCCTAGAGGGGACATTCATTACATTTGTGAATATGCTGTATCTCCTAGCAGAACAGAAGCTTCTTGAGGCCAGGTACTGTCTCATTTTTGTATTTGTATCTCCAGCTTCAGTGCCTAGCACATAATAAGCATTTAATAAATGACTGTGGATTGAATGAAATTGCAATGAAATACGAGAATTATTTAGGCCTAATGTAACCAAAAATTTCTCATTATGAAATTTAATTAAGTAGCAATGTGACAACACATAGCAATAGCAACAAAAATAATCATATCCTTTGATCCCAATACCTGTTGATAATATATCCTGAACTTGTTATAAAAAACAAAAATAAATATAAAATCCTGACGAAGATTTTCATGGAGTGACTGAAAGGTTATATGTCATGGGTAGAAATTTATTTAAATGTAAATAGTTGGAGAGTTTAATTAGTTATACTAATGTTCAATAGCTTCTATTTCATACTAATGTTCA